CCCTGAGAGATCAACAATTTCTCTTTCGACCAAGTCCTCTTTTGGAATGGCTACCTCGACATGAGGAAATTCAACCGCATGAATGAATGGTGTCTTCTTAGGAGTACCTGCAGATTGGATTCCTTCCTCAGATCCTTTGATGAAGCCTTTCGCAGAAGCCCTAGAAGGAGTTGTTGGATGATAGCTGGGATCACTGCTGGTGGTTGGAATAATTTGTTGCACCATGGATTGTCCTCTGATGTCAGTGGTAACCTAAGAAGAGTAAAGTCAAGGAATATGAGGGTTAAAATGGTAAATAAAATTACAAGGTTCTGGGTGAAGCATTTACCTTGGGTTCATCAGCCCCAGGACTGGATTTATCACTCTCAGTCTGCGCTACATTACAAGCAGGGGACACTTTCGTTGAGAGCATGCCAACCTTTGATTTCGGTTGATTGAAGGCTTCAACTATTTTTGTCTGCTTTCTCTTCCTTTTAAGGGTTAGTTTTTCAGGAGGAGATTGATCTTCCTCATCTGATTCAATTATGATTTGGCTGGAAGCTCCCTTCGAGTTTTGCTTCTTTGGAGTGGGGGTGGTCTCCGAGAGCTCTGGGGAGAAAAGAGCTGAAAGAAATGAGTAAGAAATTTACCTTAGCAACTTGACTGCTTTCTTCTATCTTTTCTTTGATCTATTTCTTCTTTTTGGGTGCAACCTTGATAGCTGAAATTTAAACAAAAACAACACAAGTAAGATGATAAAAAATTGAATAAGAGAAATCAAGTTCGAAAACCTCCCATTCCACACCTTCATATATTTCGGATTCGATGCGAACATCTTCGATATCGATATGAAGAGGGCATTTGAAACTGTCTAGAGTATGCTTAGTCACAACCACCCACTGAGCTTTCGTTTTTGACTATTGATGAAGGATTTTTATAGAACCCCCACAGATAAACCAGTCTGAAAATGGAGGGGCAAGGACCACTCCAAAATCATCACTTGGTAGTCGAGGAAATTTATTGAAAGCCATTGCGTATCATTCCCGAGGAGGAACGAACGAAGGGTATTATAAATTCTCCATTTTATTTAAAAACTTTTCCTTTAGTGTAACAGCTACCTCACAAACGGTTCGACTAAGATTGTCTGGTCGATAAACAGTTTCAAAGTTCTTCTGAAATGCTTGGATTTCTTTGATGTGTGTCGAAGTACCTTTCTTAGCCTTCTCCTGCATAGAGAGGAAAGCTTGGTTAATAAGATGAGTAAAGGAAGGAGCGTCGAAGAACTCCTCTACATAATATGTTGACCACCAGTGGTTGAATTCTATAGTGCAAAAGAAACACGGTTCAAAACCAGTGGGGATGAGTTGAGCCTTATTGGAGTAGCGGGCAAGTTGCATTGAAGTTATCTCTTTAGTGTACTTCACATGATGAAGCAAAAGAGCACATTTCTTTTCGAAGATACATCTGGGAAGAGATTGGACCAACCCAAACTGTCAAGCCACTAAGTTTGGTTGGTAAGCAACCAAAGCCACTTGAGATTTCGACAAATTCAGTCAAAGCGTTAGCAACCTTGGAATCAAGAAAGCTTCTCAGATCTGTAAAAATTTTGCTTCTTGAGCCTTGGTTTGGGTTAGAAAAGGTCTGGTAAACCACTCAGGACGATACTTCCTTACAGCGAATGGAGCCATGTTCGATGTGAACTCATGACGTTTGGAAAACATCATGACATAACTTAAGAACGTTGGCCTGAGGGATTGTCCTTCTTCACTGGGAGTGAGTTGAACCAAGCGAGTCCCTTCGACTCTCCTATTCTTGAGTCTTCAGAAATCTTATTGATTGGATTTTGGGGAGGCTGGCTTTGAATGAGGCATTTATCAAGAGTTATAACAGCCAGAAGGGACCAGACAACAAAAGGTTCCCTTTTTCTCCTAAGTCCTTAAGTTGGGATACTCCTTCACTTAGAGACTCACAGAGATTCCCTAAGATCATTTCGCTTAGGCATATATCATGGCCTTTGTGAAGTTGAGTGGCCAGGGTTAAGTATCTTCTAGCTACTTGAATGGACTTTGAGCAAAAGACACAATGGGATAACCATACAGTTAAAAAAGCTATGTGTTATCGATCAGAAACATCATCAGTTTTTTTGTCGAAGTAGTGTGTTATGAAGTGAGAATATGCGACTTTAGCATATGCAAAACCTATGGAATCATCAGATTCTAGGTTGGGGTCATAGGCGTTTCTAATGGATTTGAGTTCTGTGATAACGGTTATATCGAATAGTGTAGGAGTCATCATCCCAGAAGGGAGATGGAAAGTGTAGTGGGTGATATCCCAGAAATACAAGGAAGAAACCAACATGGTCTGATAGTAATCAAGACTTATTTTCGACAACATAATCAAGTCATAGATTCCCAAGTTTGGGATTTAACTTTCTCTATTTTCGCTATCCAGTTCATGTAATCGTCAGATTCTTTGAAGGATGGGGTTGCTCTAAAAACTCTAAAACTATTGTTCATATACCTTAAATCTATATTGTTGAGTACTACCGCATCAGAAGAAGTTTTCTCAACCCTAATTTAGTTTGCCTGACCTATGGGTTTTGATTTATGGTAAGAGGGGAAAAGTCCCTAGATTTATTGTGATCAAAACTAAGAGAAGGTAAAGGACCACAAAGTGCATGTCTTTTACTAGAAATAGTAATGGAAATGAGTACTTGAGATTCATATATCTTCCTCTTCTCTTTCTTAAGTGGTTCAGGATGAACTGCTAGTTGCCCATCATCATTGGCGTTGATAGTGTGTTAAAGGGAGGAAGTTGGGAAATTTTCTTCGGGTCTTTAGATTTGTGGATTTTCTTAGAATCTTTAATGTTGATGGTTGAAGACATCATTGTTAAGGTTTGAAGAAAATCTGGGTATTTTTGGAAGTTTGGAAAGTGCAGAGAGAATGAGAGCGTTTGAAGATTTTTGGGAGCGTAAAAGTTAAAATGATTAAGTTTGGAGCAATTTATAAGCTCATGGGAGTTCAAAGGACTTCAAATCAGCATTAAAGAGCTGATAGTTAGTGGGACACTTGTTCCATCAAGGCTGTTTGATGAAACATGGGCAGTTAATGCCTAGTGCACGATTTCCTAGGATCTAGGAAACGTATTGATGGCTAGAGATTGTGGCGTGCTTTGATGAGACGTTTTTCAGAAATTGCTATGATGATCATGACGTCATGGGTTTTTGGAATAGTAAGAGACATCAAAAACATGCAAAAGTCGTTCGAGGCGTCGAATGACACTATCAAAAAATTCATTTTTTCTTCAGTGGTGTCGAAAATGACATTTTTGGAGGGCAATTTGTTGGCTCTTAATTTCGACGCCTGGATGAGATTAAAAGTAGAAAATAGATTTTCTGAAGAAATTTAATGACTTCGAATGAAGCCATATTTTTGGAATATGAGTCGGAGGCGTCCTTTCACCAGGAGAATTTATGTTACGGACTTAGAGATATTTCTTAGCAGTTGGAAGAGTCGATTCAACATAGGTGTCACTGAAGGCATTTCGACAGGAAGGTTTGAATTCAAATAAAGGAGGGAAAACTCGTTCTCATCCATTCCTCAAAGAAGACATGTGGAGTTCTTCTAGGATTCGAAGGCATGCAGAGTGACACTTGTCTTGATTTCGTTTGCTAGCCGTTAATGACAGTTATTTCCGATTAGTATAAATAGCAAGTCTCAGTGTTAAGATTTGTGTGTGCTCAATTGTGTACAAATTCTTCAGTATACTCCAAGTACCCGTGTGTAGAGAAACGAGTTTGTAAGAATGTACGTTGATGTAACACCATCTTTTCATTTCAATGCAATTTAATAAATCTTTTTCCTTAAGAATTTATTATTTCTTTATGCAAGTTCTTGTCTTCATCATTTACCAGTACTTCGATTTTACTTCTTTTCACCCAAATCCATTTACATTTGAGATAAGTCATTTTATCATGAACTCTGTCGAAGTGTTCATCGTTTTTATAAACTTTATTTAAGATCAATTAGCACATGTCTTAAGATTTGTGTGGTCGATCCTGCAAATAAAACAGATCTTTTTCTATTTGTAAGACCAGCGATTGTTCACCAATTTTTACGGCGAACAAAACCTTCCATTACAGTGTTTGGTGGAAAAATTAGAATTTTTTTAAGAGTTTAAAATTCTAAGCAAATGAAATTCATTCAATTTTAAATTCTTTTGTTTGTATGAATTATTAAAATAATTCATTATTAAATTTTTGAAATCATTTTCATAAAATTTAAAAAAAAATTGGGTCAAATTTAAATTATAAAAAATAGGAACCAATTTGAATTTTTAAAAATTTAAAAAAATCAATTTGTAAAATTTTAAAATTATTAGAGATTTATTTGCAAATTTCTTAAAATTTTGGTGGTAAATTTAAAATTTTCATAAAATATAAGAACTATTTTATAAATTTGAAAAAACTAATAATAAATAATTTAACATTAAATTATGGAACAATTTTAAATTTTTTATTTTTTTAAATCATTTAAAATTTCTTAAATTTAACTTAAATAAATAATTTATAAATTTATATCGTAACATTTTTTAATATTTCTTATCAAAACAATAAATTTTACTCAAAATATCTTAAATCCTTAAGAAAATTATTTTTTTTGGTTAAAATATTTCATCTAAACAATTCACTTTAACATTTGTCTTTTGAAACTATTTCTTAATGTCACTTTTTAATATTGGTAGTCAGATATTATACTTTTTCTAATTTGCATCTCCTTCACGCAAAGATTATGTATTCCTTTCAATATCAACCCACCTCATACTCTCGGTCCCATAGAGGAAAAAAAATTATAATAATGGACAATGGTTACAAGATAGCTCTTTCAATGCATATCTTAAATAAATTAAATAAAAAATAATTGTTATATATGATAAAAATAAAATGTAATTATATCGGGTCAATTGGATCGAAGTAAAATATAATAGGAAGAAGTATAGCGTCCGCAAATCCAATCCAAATGGAAGAAAGCGAGTCCGAGTGGGGCGAGTTGACTCGGGAATGCCTCATCAACATCCTATCTCGACTCACCGCTGAGGATCAATGGCGCGGTGCGATGCTTGTTTGCAAATCATGGTTCAACGCTTTCCAGGAACCCTCTCTTCACTCTGTATTCAACCTCGAACCTTACTTCGACTCGCCATCCGAGTCACCTCGCTGGTGGACCCTCCAATTCGAGTCCAAAATCGATTCCATGTTTCTATCTATCGTTCAATCAACTCATCAATTCCTCACCCAGATTCGCATTCGACACTGCTCTGATCGCCCTCTCAACCTCGTTGCCCTAAGGTACAATCTAGGTTCGGTAATTTCAAGTTTGAAGTTGTTTCTGCAATTTTAATTTTTTTTGTAATTAATAGGTTTTATCTCTGAAATTGCCCAAAATTGAATCCAGAAGTTTAGAATTTTTACAAGATTCTGAGTAGAATTGATTTTGACTTCTTCATTTTATTTGAAATTTAAGTTAGAATTTATAGCTATTGTCTTTACAATTGATTTTTAGGATTCAATTTATTGTTCAAGACATCCTTACATGAATTTAACCACATTAAATTACTTTTGCTTTCAGTTAACTTTTAGCCATAATCAATTTTACCAAATTAACTTATTCAAAATCAATATTTTAGTGTATTTTCAGAGTGTATGTTTGGTTTAGCATTTGGAATAGCTGAAAGCAATTCTAGAAGTGTAGAATTGATTTTGGAATTGATTTTTCCTCCGTAATTGATTCTAGTTGGAAGTTAGAAGTCGTAGCTTTTGAGTTTAAAAATGATTTTTATATTGAAATTTACTGATCAACTCAATTTAACATAAATTAATTTACATTCATTCAACTCACTTTTAATCAAAATTTATTTTACAAAATCAATTTACTCAAAATCAATTTTTTTCATCACAAAACCAAACATTCGCTTAAACTAACTTATTCAAAATTGATTTTTTTTTACTGCAGAACCAAACAAAATATAAGCCTGTAAAATGTTTTCTGCTTTCAATCGCGAATACAACTTTGTGGCGTATAACCTTTATGTATGTATGTATGTGTGTATGTATGTTCTGAAGCCTTTCGTTTCTTTGTTTTGCTCTTTTTTTTTTTGTTGGAACACAATTCAACTGCATTTTCAGATGTCCAAATCTTGAGGTGTTGTCAATCAGAAGCTGCCCTCGTGTTACTGATGATTCAATCTCTAAGATTGCGACTGGGTGTCCAAATTTAAGGGAACTGGACATCAGCTATTGTTATGAGATAACTCATGAGTCATTGGTGTTGATTGGAAGAAATTGCTCCAACCTTAAGATTCTCAAGAGAAATCTCATGAATTGGCTTGATCCTTCCCAACATGCTGGGATTGTTCCCGATGATTACCTAGATGCTTGTCCGCAAGATGGAGATTCTGAAGCTGCTGCTATTGCAAATTCTATGCCTCATCTAGAGTGGCTAGAGATTAGGTTCTCCAAGTTAACGGTAAAAGGCCTTAATTCGATATGTCAGGGGTGTCCTAACCTTGAGTACTTGGATTTGTCTGGCTGTGCTAACTTAACTAGCCGAGACATTGTAAATGCATCGTCAAGTTTGTCACGCTTGAAAGACATTAAAAAACCAAATTTCTACATTCCAAGATCTGTCTATCACACTGAAAGATATGGACATTGGAGCCTATATGATGAGAGATTTCAAACAGATGTTTTTCGAATCTGAACATTGATAAGAAGATTATCCCAGATGTAAACTGTGAGTCCAACAACCCATCTTCTTTCTACTGATCTGTGCAGGTCTTCATTGAGTTTCTTCAGTTATTGATCCAGTCAATTATATCTTATATAAGTTATAATCTTTGTCTTTGTAATTCCTATTCTATGTTGTATATTTTCCTTGTATCTGTAATGTGTATGTATAGAAGATAATTGTCTCAGGTCCCGATAATGGATTTACCTAATAATATTCTGATTACTTCTCTTTGCATTGGCTGCTGGATTACTACTTATATGTTCTTGGTTGCAATCTATCATAACAATTTGTATTATGTTATCAAAATTCATGTTTTACTTTTTTTTGTATCTTTCTTGCTTAGAAAAACTCTCTTGTTGCGACATTTATGCTTGTAGTCTTATAGGAATTTTCTACTGCTAGAACTTTAGTTGATTGTCAATGAATGGGTAGTTGTTGAATTATTTGCTAGTATCATTGAGGTGAGTTGTGATTCTGAAGTTTAAGATCAGGTGACTTTTTTTCTTATTGCTAGCCAGCTTTGTTTGATTCCTTAGTAGATAAAGTAATGTATCTAAACACTAAAAAACATGACTGTCAAACTCCAAAGTTAACTCAGAATTAGACAAGATCATGACTTGCTTATAATATCATTTTTCTTTGGGGGGTAAACTCAGGTAGATTCATAGAAAAACGAATTCTAAAATGATTGAATGAGTCTATGATATAGTGGTTATTGTCCCCCACAGTTGCTTAAAATGATGTAGTAGGTAGGTCATTCTTTATGTTAAGCAAACAACAAGAAAAAATGCAACACTTGTCACTTACCGCACTCAACTCCACAGATGATGAAGGTTTTGTCCATCATATTTGAACTGTGATGCTATGCACGTGCAATATTGTCTGGTTTGCTTTGGTTTGGCCTCGAGCTATGAGCCCGTTTCAATTGAATTTATTGGTTGCTTACAAATATTTATTGTTATTGTGGTTTGGTTTATCACTGAGTCAGAATTTTGAATACCTTACTATGCATATGGTTTTAAATTGTGTCGTGCTGCTGTGGTAGATGTTTACAACGTTATTGCAATTCAACGAGTCAAGCCTACAATAATTACTAAAGTTTGCATAGACTCTTGAGTTTGGTAACTTTAGATATAAAGACTATGTCAAGAAGACATGCATCGTTTGCATTATTCATACACATTATGGAAACGGAACGAAGAAGTAAGCTTATAAGTGGAGTTCTTGTTTATAGTTAAAATACAAGCTAAGAGCAAGCGGGTAGTGTGTTAAATAGTACAAATCAAAAGCAGGTTGTTAACACAAGGTAAAGTTTTGACGTAACACTGACAGGTCTAGCAAGTCATATGTGGTTGTACCTTTTGGAATTAAGGGACAGCTTTAAGCTTAAATTCACGGATACCAAGGTGATTGAAACCAGTTAATATGAACATTCATGTAGTTGGCGTTCCTTGTGAGTTGAGAACAATGGTGAAGAGATATTTTCGACTGTCCCCTAGCTTTAAGATGACTTTGAGATGAGAAGTTTAACCTTAGCTCGTTTGATTGGGACATTTGCTTGTAAGTTTGAGATGAGAATTTAAGTCAGCTAACTTGTAAAGCTTATAAATAAAGATGCAATCATCTTCTATTCCAAAAAGTTGTAATCATTTTACTACTTTTTTTGGGTTTAGACTTTTATATTTCTAAGTTACATTGAATATCAACTAATCTGAGTTGAATTAGTTGCATTTATTTAAGAGAAATGAAGATTTTATATGATTTATTTTTATTTTATTCAGTTGTGAAGTTCAAACTTAAGTATATTTCTTTGATCAAGGCAAATCAAGTTTTTTATTCTTTTAGGTCTGTTCCTTTTTTTTAAGGAATTGTTTTAAATTTCTTAATTTATATCATTTATATTTTCAGTTTTTAATAAACAAATTGAGAAATTCAATTGCCTAGTTGTATGATAGTCATTAAAATAAGGGGAATACTCTTTCCACCCTTCACCTATAAAAATATGAAAATACCTTAGTTTTTTTTTTCATTCGACGAGCAAATTTGGTTTTTTTTGTCATTCAACAACTTGGTTTTTTTTTTCATTCAACAACTTAAATATTTAGTCTATTATAGAACATATACAATAGTTATTGAATGAAAAAAAAAGAGTCTCATAATAAAGAGAAAATAATAAAATTATAAACATGTTAAGTAGAATATTATTTGAAAATGAAATTCTTATAATTTTCTTGAAGTTCCACTTTTGCAGTAAACATCGTCACCCATGAGGGAGCTTCGAGTGGAAACAAGCCAGCGGTAAGTCAGATTATTTGGATGCATAGTATACGCACATGTGCCTTACATTCATTGGAAGAAATTGGATTATAAAAGTCCCAAGTATGTACCATGTCTGTCAGGATCTATAAAAGTCCCAAGTATGTACCATGTCTGTTACCAACTGGACTAAATGTTTACAGTATGTTACAGACAATGAGCGGTATGCAAATGATGAACCTCACAATTTAGTCATCTTTAGCTTTTCTAAAGTTCCCATAACAAATGTAGAGATAACAAAGCACTTTGTATTGATGAAAGCCATGGATATGAGAATTGAATCCATTGAAATAAAGTAAACTTGGGAATTGGCATCTCTGCATGTTGGTATTAAGACTAGAGAAGATAGGAGTAAAATGAGTTTCGGTATTAAGACATCTCTGAAATAAAGTAGAATGAAGAAGGAAAGTTGGGCTTAATCTATTCCCCGAGTTTCCATATATACCTTTTTTCCCCTATATGAGCCATATATATTGCTCATAATTGAATCAATGTTTAGTGAAACAAGCGATTAAACATATCTGGTTTAACCTTCTGAAGCAATGAGACTCGGCCGATATGTTTCGCCAACTCACCTGTGACACGGTCCATATAAAGGGCGTATAGTCCATTTCTGCTTTCAAGAAGTTCTAATGCTTTTCTTGCCTGGATAATTGACGTCATCCAATCTTCAAGGAGCACTGCAATAATATTGACAGTCAATTAGAAATAATATTGACAGTCAATTAACAACAATATTTTGTTGGCAAACAAATTGAAGAAGAATGTAATAGCTGGCAAATTAAAGGTGTTGAATGAGGCAGGCTTTTATGTGCTAGTCAAAGAAATCAAGGCTCTAAGATAATAGAAAATTAGAAAAGTTGAGTAAGAATTGATGCAGAACAATAATATAAATCCACGGAAATATGATGCATACCGGTGTCAAAATCTTCAGCTTTTGACCACTCTAATAAGTAATCTCCCACCAAGAACTCAATAAGCTGGATCCTGACTCCCACAAATAAAAAAGATTGTCTTCAAAATATTTACTGTTTTGGACAAAAGCTAAATTGTCCTATTATTGTGATACTTAAATTTGGAGATCATACTAATGTGTATTAGTAAAGAACTTACATGATGAACATACATTCGTGCATGTTAGCAAAAGTGTCATCGAAAGGATCAGTGAAAAGCAAACGTTCTGCTAGCACCAAAATTCTTTGACAAACTGAAAGTATAGCCCGTTGGCCAATATAGGGCTCACTTCCAAGTTTACGGACCAAATGCTGAATACAGAACTGTGCATCGGTGCCACTGTGTTGAGATCCTAGGAGATAGAATTTTGGAAAAGAACGAAAAGCCCATTAGGTAATAAGAATACATTAGAAATGAAAATAATATTTAATGGTTAAACTGCAGAGTAAAGTTCAGAAACTCAGACATTTCTACACTGGTTTATGGTTTTGTATTACATATTACACTAACAATGTAAGTAAATTTCATTTATTGTCATTAACCTCAAATTAGTAATACCATTATCTGACGAGTACGAGCACATCTTCATCGTCAAACGTGTAACTAGGCTGTTGATAATTCGTTCAACAAGTTCCAGGTTCCTTCCCATTGACAGAAGAGTCTTCAATGAAACTTCAGAAAAGATATACAACAATTCAGTGTGGATGAAAAAGAATATGGCAGCGGGTTTCATGAGTAATGCATATGCTAGTAGTCCATAGTAAGAGCATAAAAATCAAAGAAAACAAAGTAGAGTTCAAATAAAATTTGATGTTAATCTCTAGCAAGTTACCATTTGATGTGAAGAATGCGGAGCAAGGGGCCTATATTACATGTACCTTATATTGCTTATAAGTCCACAGCCATAAACAATCATAACTAACTGACTAGAGTTAGCAGCTGTATTGGCAAGAGCATTGGATGTGCAAAGAGAACAGATTCCCTTTGCCTATCCACCGCCACTAGGAGACGCACCCGCTAAATTTGTAGGGTAGTCCTAGGCTTTACTCAAAAAGAGAGATAAATCATTAACTTATCCAACACAAGAACACAGATAAACTCCCACAGGGATTTTCTTCAGCAGATCAATAAGTAAGTAACTCTAAAATTCTTAATTGGTCAGTACCAATCATGTCATAATGCATAAGCAAGTAGAATACATGCATGGATGGAACGCCTCTATTGCTAATTAAGAAGAATTGATATTGATGCCAAAAAAAAGTTAGAATAAAATAGCATGACAGAAAAGGTATATGGTTCCAAATTCCAAGTATTAAATTGGAGGAAGAAGTTGTGAAAGGTCTTCAACTAGCGAAAAGAGCAGTATGCTAAATATAAGTATACAGCTTGATGGGTCGGATTTCAAATTTAGAAAGCATGTGATTTCAAACATTTTAATTTGAGGGGAAAAAAGACTAGGCAAAGCTCTTCAATTAATTAAAGAGCATAATACCCAATATAAAATCAACGGCTTGGTGTGCCATGTTTGCAAACTTGGAATCATCCACCTGCAAAATACAATAAATACCCTTATGAAATAAAATTAAAAATTTTAGCACATAAGAAACCAAATGTTTATATTCAATGCAATATTTGGATAACAAATTGGCTAAAGAAAAATGCTACTAAGTAGTGAAGCAAGCATACTGACAGGTAATACA